TCATCTCTCTCACTTCTTCAGCTTCTGACCACCGCGGAGCAGACCTGTGCGCCTTGCTGCAATGAGACCCACCTTCTGTCCAGGCACAGCTGAGCGTGCGACAGTGGTTGGGTGGCCCACGTGCTGGTGATTTCCTCCTCCGTGAGGGTGCTCCACAGGGTTCATGGCAGAACCACGCACCTTTGGCCAGCTGTTTCGCTTCACGCGGAACTTGTGGTGGTTGTTGCCAGCCTTCAGCACTGGCTTGTCCATGCGTCCGCCACCAGCCACAATGCCAACAATGGCACGGCATGTGGAAGGCAAGCTCTTGCGGCTGCCAGACGGCAAACGGACTCGGGTCTTCTTGCCATCATCCGAGTGGCCAACCACCATGCATGAAGTTCCAGAGGCCCTAGCAAATCGCCCACGGTCAGATGCTTTCTCCTCGCACATGGAAATCACAGTACCTTCAGGCATCTTTGCCAAAGGCAAGACATTTCCGACAGTCAGCTGAGCCTTGCTGCCACAGTAGACGAACTGGCCGGTATGGCTGCCCTCGACGGCCACCCAAAGCTCCTTCTTCAGCTTGTAGCGATAAGGATCACGGAAGACAACTTCACAAAGAGGAGCTCCACGGCCAGGGTCATGCACAATGTCCTTCACCAGGCCCTTGATGTAGCCCTTGCGCTCCGCATAGTCAACAGCGCGAAGCTTGACAGCACCCTTCCTCAATCTGGTCTTGGCTGTGAAGATCAGGGACTTACCCTTACGCGAACCGCGGATGACACGGCCCATGGCTTCTGTTCCACCCCACAACAGTACTGGAGCCTTTTCGAGACATGCAGGACACATGAAAGGGTTGCAAACTTTTGCTCAATGGATGCCAATGTGCTTGTACATTCTGTAATGTCTGCCAAAACTACATGTAATCTCAAGTAGTACACGGGGGAATTTGCCGACTTCATCTTGTGAGTCTGTCGCCGAGATGCAGTCTGTGAGCCTCACTGGGGGCCGCACCGAGGAGGATCTCGGCTTCTGGTTCGAGATGTTGTGTGCCACCACTGGAGCATCCGGGGGGGGCGATTCGCTCGATCCCCCGTCGAAACGAACCACTCGATCGGAGGATGCTCTCGCTCTCGGAGAGTGCGAGCTGTTTGGTTGCGCAAGATACTGCTGGACCCACGGCTGGGAATCCATACCGATGGTGAGGCGGGCAAATTTCATCGAGCAGATTGTAGAGTCATTCATGAAAAGAAAAACAGTGGACAGGTGCCAATCTGCTCGAGAATTACTCAATATACAGGAATCCGGATGGGGGTTCATGGACATATATATTGTTGGCAAGTTGATCAGTATCTTTCCAGCAAGATATAAGACAGTACAAATACTGGATTATAGTATGGTAGGTAAGACCTAAATCTATCAATACTCAACCTCGTCTCATGGAAACCTTCCCAAAGCACCGTCAGTGAAACCCTGTACCGTACCCTCTTTCCTGCGTGTGTCAGATCACATGGTTGGGCACTGATCCACAAGAGTACTGAGTGGTGCTGAGATGACATTGTGGGTGCTGCTCAGGTGGTCCCAGGTTTGATTCATCAATTCTGCTGCTGGAAGAACGAAGACAGGATCATTCAATGGACCAGTTGAATGGTGACCTCGGACACTGTGGAAATCTTCCCATGAGCCAAGCACGCCTGGTGCTGCCGTGCCAGCTGCCCGCGCGGCCATAGCCTGATGTTGGTGGTGTCTCTGTCCCACAACCACCTTTTTCTGCACAGAGTAGTAGACAAGCATGTTCCTCCCTCCCTTAGAATGGATGGATACCCATAACAAACACGGCAATCCAATAGGCCGGAACAAGGGTTGGATTGCTACAGTCGGCGAGTCTGTCCAGCAAAAAGAACTAGTGGCAGAAAAACACGGAGGAAGAATGCAGCCCAGAACACATCTCACTCGCTTCATAATTTAGTGCAAAACCGCCAACCAGCTGGAATTCACCAAGTTCCTCCAAACTGCACTCTTTTCTGTCCCTCAAACAACTGAGTTTCCTGATGTCCTACTTTTTCAATCTCGCCCCCACGTCCCCCCTTTCCAGCCTGGCAAGCCATGGTGGGTGTGGTTGAGCGAGATCCTCCCTGGAATGCAGAAAAGACCGGCGATGCAGCAATCGCTGGCGCCCAACGCATTGGTGGCCGAAATCTTCCGATGAATAGAAATTGAGATGAAGCTGAGAAGGTGAGTCCAATCAATGGCAGCTCTTGATGGCCCCTTACAACAAAAAAGAACCCCAATCACCAACGCTGCGCCTGCACAGAAGGAGCGACCTGGCCAGGGACTTGAGCAAGCCTGTGATAGAGGTCTTCCTAGGGTTTGGAGCGGTCACCCCTCCAATCAGGTAAGGATCCCAAATAGAATATACTGGTAAATCACTGACGTAGGAAACCTGAAGTTTCCTGTGCACCACCTCATCCCTTGCTGACAAGAAAAATGATTTGGAATGTTGCTGAAGAAAGCCCCTGGCCTGTGCAAGCTGACTGAAATCCTCATAAGATCTAAAAGGATAAATGAACTGCGCAAGCTATGTTCATAAAAACTCAAGGTCTCTAGTCCACATATATATATATATTTATAACTGCATTTGTGTAATGCAAGACCCCCTCACCCTCCTGTGCCCCGGTAACCTTTGCTTCTATGATGGTGGTTCCATTGCTTTTGTGCCGCACCCCAGTGCAAGAGTTCTCCCTTTAACCAGGCCGGTGCGCACCGCCGGAGACCTGGAAGCAAAAGGCTGGTGCATCTGTCCGGTTTGGGATGAGGACTTCACCAGGTGCAACGAAAACGTGATTCGCCAGGATGAAACTCTGGAACGTCTGTGGTGGTCTGAATGATGAAGCCCAATTTTTGGGAAGCTCTTCTCAGGTGCTCCCCTGCTCCCCTGCTCCTTTCTGGGCTGAACTCAATTTTTCAAAACATCTGCTCTTTGTTCCAGAAAACAATAGCCATTGTCCATCTCAACAAAAATCGTACGACCTGAAGGACCCCAAAAGCTCCTTGGGTCACGCCAGCGATAGGGTGGTCGTATTGGCTTTATGCCCCAAATCTGGACGTTGCGGCGATGGCACGCCTGGGCGAGTGCTGCATTCCAAGGCCAGATGCCACCTCCAGGGATCACCGCAGAAAAAGCCCCGACCCTTCGACGGCCCAGTCGAAGTGGAGCAACCTAAAGAAAGTCTCCCAAAATATGAAAGCTGTGCACCAACACAATCCCCACGATTCAAGCTTTCCAGTTCCCCACCCTTCCCGCAGGGTAGGCAATGACATCAAGAGTTGGAGAGAATTGCATCAAGAGTTAGCCCTTTACCATGTGGGGTAAGGCATTTTGAATCCAGGAACCCTTGATTTGGTGGTCTTGTCTCAAGCAAGACAACTCTGGATCGAATTGATCCCACAGTGCCAAAGTATTGAACCCAAAGACATCTCTGTTCACTTGAGGTGCTGACTTCAGCAGCAGCCCCCAAAAAGGCTTGAATCCAAAGATACTTGCGAGCAGTGTGCAGGACGAGCATGCACAAAAGACAGAACTTGTCTAGGCACTAGGACTCTAAGAGTTCAGGCTGTTTGAACTCTTGGCTTTACTCCTATGGCCACCCCCTGTCCGTTTGCGCACCGCCATGATGGAGCCACCAGACTGGACACAGCCTTGGGAATGGAGGTATACGCAACGTGTTGGGGGAGACAGCCGCTAGACCCCAAATCCGCCCGCACCGAAGGTGCTGAGGCGTGTTATAGGGCACGCATGATTCCGTAGTACCGTTAGTACTAACTGTAGCGTTAGCTAGGGGGGGGGGGCAATTTTCGCTCTAGAATCCTGTGTTTTTTCACGTTTTTGGAATCGGCTTAAAGTGCTTTCGTGCTAATGTTGGGTATCTTGAAGGCTTTAGGGATGCAAGAAATGCGAGTTTCTGCTTTGCATCATCTGCATCGGCTGAATCATCTGAGCGGCACACTATCTAACGGACATGTCTGCGAGATAGGGACTTGAATGTCCGGGTACGTGGGTGGTCAGG